ACCCCGGGCACCATCTGCCGCTCGCTGCCACGTGGTGCCGTCCGAGGGGGTGTTTGCTTTGCTCCGACGTGGCAGTCGCTGACAGACCACAACGACTGCACCCTCCTGCACTCTCTCCGAGCGCAGCAAGACCTTGAGGGTGGCGAGCCCCAGCCAGGATGTCTCTGGCCACCGGTAGATGTTCTGGGCGGCTTCTTCAACCTCCATCGCCCCTGTTTGTCCTCATCCTGGCCTGGGAAGAGGCTCGGTTCTGCCCAGTAAGTCCCCAGGAAGGGGAAGGACCAACTCAGCCTCCACGGATCTGTGCCGGGGCCGGTGGCAGAGATGAGTCAGGGCTCGCAGGCAGCGCAGGCAGGAGCCAGCTCCCAGCTGCTGCCTGCATCCAAGCCAAATATTTGCGCTGCTGCTGGCATGTTTGCCTAAACACTGAGTTCTCAGTAAGCCTGCCCCGGCCTAGTCAAGCGACAGGAGCTAAAATGAGCCCAGGGCTTTTTTTGATTGCCTGACAGGGACAGAGAAATGCAACTGTTGAGAGCAAAGGGGTGCTACTCGCTGCCCTGAGCATCCTCAGCCTCGAGCTGCAGCCCCCTCTGGGCATGGGGCATCTCTTCCCCTTAACCAAGTAGCTCAGGACTTTGCAGAGCTCACCCGACCGGAGAGGGAAGGAGAGACGGGCCTGTTTACCTTCCTGTGGGATCCTGCTCTTTTCTGCTTCCTCAATAAATAGGGAAAACATGTTCGTCTTCACAAACTTCTTCACAAACTTGCGGTTGGTCTTGGAGGCGATGGCTTTGCAGAAGGCTCGCTCCTGGAACGTGCCCGAGCCGTTTTTACTCCACTTGATGTGCGAGGCGTAGTGGCCGACCATTCGGACAAAGAATTGCACGAAGGCTTCAGAGACGAGCGTGTTCACCTGCTCGGATGCTGGAAGAGGACACGGAGCACGAGAGGTGGGGATGGGACCTCTGAACGTAGAAAGGACGGTCTTATTTGAACCTGGCTGGTTCTCAGTCTGTGTTTGCATCCCAAGAAATTATTTGCTTAAAATCTCCCTCTGCCAGTAAACCAAGATCAGACTAATTTTGTTGAGGGAGCACTGGCTGTGTTTGCTTTCCAGCGTGGTGGCATCTTGGCGGGCTAAATATTGGCAAAAGCTGATTTTTTTCAGCAGAATTAGTTGTTCCTGATCTCACGTTTCACAGGACAGGGGAAAGGCCAAGGGATTTCCCTCCTGTGACTGCATTTTGTTGGAAATCAGGGCAGAAACATCCCAGGCCAGGTCCCTTTAGGAAAATTGTTTCACTGAGGACTCTGGCCATCTGTGGAGGGCAGCTTGGGCGTGTTTTACCGTATATAAAGGGACGTCCTTACTCTGTACGTTGTTGTTGTTGTTGTGCCTGTTCAGAGATGTCAGCACCTCGTTCTGCAGCTTGATGGGCAAGATCTCCTCCTCATCGCCGACCTAGAAGGCAACGAGGCCGTGAAGCACCCGGCAGGGTGGGAACCCGTCTCAGATGGCCTCGGGCAGCGGTTAGTGCAGCCCATCAGTGGGGCTTTCTCAGAGCTCATTAATTAATGAGCACTGCAGGGTACTGCAGTGATGCTGGCAGTGGGATGCCCAACACATGGACCCTGCTGCTCTGCTTCATGCCCAGACAGATGCAGTGGCTGGAGACATCCCTTCATGGGACATTCCCCCTGGACGGGTGACACTGAGATGTCTCTGCCCCCAAACATGAAAGCTGCCAGGTAGCAGCAGTGGCATCAAGGGGGAAAGAGACCCTTCCCGAGGCTACCCAGCCGAGGTGAGCCCACCCCCAGCCCAACACCCTGCACAGGGGGACCTACCGCTCGGAGGATCTTCCCTTCGCAGAGGTCAACTATCAGAGCCTGAAAGGGAGCAGAGAGCAACCAGGTTTAGCCCTACCAAGCAACCAGGCTTCCTCCCATCCGTTTTGGGACCAGATCAGTGTGTTTGCAGCCCATGAGGGTGACAGGAGAGGGATCAGTCCCTCTCTGCTGGCAGGACCTGGGCAGGGGGACCAGGGCATCCCCCCCAGGGACCGTGTTTGCTGCAGGCTTGGTGGCTTGTCCCTGCGCAGCTTATCTCCGCTTCTGCAAGGTTGGGATGATGCCAACAGCCAGCCTGGCCAACAGCAGCCCCCCGAGCCCCCAGGGTCAGGGCTGCAGGTCCTGGGGTAGTCGGCAGCACCCAGGGGGACATGGAGGTGTTGTCCCAGGTGCCACCAGGAGGGCAATATGCAAGAAGCCCCAATTTCCAGCCTCCCTGGATGGGAAAAGGGCACAACCAGAGCCTCCAGCCCCAGAGCCAACCCAAACCCAGGGTCACGCATTAACCAGTGGCTCCATCCAGATGCTTTCCCCTGCCCCGCCTGGGGTAGTCGGCAGCACCCAGGGGGACATGGAGGTGTTGTCCCAGGTGCCACCAGGAGGGCAATATGCAAGAAGCCCCAATTTCCAGCCTCCCTGGATGGGAAAAGGGCACAACCAGAGCCTCCAGCCCCAGAGCCAACCCAAACCCAGGGTCACGCATTAACCAGTGGCTCCATCCAGATGCTTCCCCCTGCCCCGATGAAATCCCTCCTCCATCGGCTGGTCCAGGACCCGCTCCAGGTGCCGCATCTGGATGCCGACCATGAAGGGCGTGGGGCAGCAGACAGTGTCGAGCAGGCACTCGGGGACCACGGGGATGTAGGTGTGAGCCCAGGTGAAGGGGTAGAGGAGAGCAGCTACCGCGTGGATGCACTGCGACAGGACGCTGTGGGACAAGGAGCCGTCGTGGTGGCATTGCACGAGGAAAGGGGATTTCACCGCTTGGAAGGAACATCCTGCCCTGACCTTGGCTGCGTCCTACTCTCCTTCAAGGATTATTTTTTTTGTTTGTTTTATTTTAAAGTAAACAGATCAGGACTCACCTCAGCTCCTCTGCAAGGAAAATGAGCCGTCGCTCCAACACGGCGGAGGCAAAGATGTGCAGGATGAGGTGGGGGCTGAGCCGCTGGAGCAGAGCCTGAAACTCCACGTGCTCCAGGTGGGCGTCCACAGGCCGTGTGAGCTCGATGAGCTGCGGAGGGAGAGCCACCAAACCCTGACTTAGGAGGTGCAACACTTCCCCCATGCCACCCCGCTCCCCTGAGAAGGCGATTTGGGAGCAATTAATGACCCAGTGTTTGCAGCATCTGTATCACGTCCCTCTGCAAGGGAAAAACCCCTCATCTTGTCCTGCCTGGAGGTGCGGGCTGTGCAGCGCTGCGGATGCAGGGGAAGCCAGTGGCAATGTGCACTGTGGCGTTTATTTATTGGGACACTGGATTTCTAACAAAAATGCCTTTTTTCTCCCGCACTCACAAGGGCGACATGGCCCCAGCTCAGCAGCTGAGAGCTCATCTGTGAGCAGCAGCGGAGTACATTGCCCAGGAAGAGGAGGAGGGATGAGGGCACGACTTTTGCTATAAAACCCACAAAAACTTCCTCAAAAGCCTCTCCAGGAGGGCTGACTTGCCTTGCCCTAGCTAAGCTGGCCCAAAAGTGAATTATCTAATAGATATTTACAGATCTGTCTATTCTGCTGGCTTTGCCCAAGACAAGGGTCTCCCAAACCCGGTCGATACCTCTGCCCTGCTGTGGGCAGTCCCAAGACGGTGACTGCTGAAGGGTTAACAGGACTGTCCAGCTCATGACACAGTCCTGGCCCCTCTCCCCAGCTTTACGGGGTGGAGGCGGGGGGGAAATCCTCCTCCTCCATGTGCCAGGCTGCCTTTACAACAGAGCAGCATCTTCCCAGCCAGCAGCACAGGGCTTGGCTGGGCTCTGCAGCCCCTTTCCAGCACAAATCCTGCACGATTCCCAGCTCCCAGGCCACGCAGGACCTATAATTTATTTTCACCCCTTTCCCTATTTTCTCACTGATCTCCTCGACCTGCTCTAGTCCCTGCCCGGAGCCCCAAAGCGCAGCTCTTTCGAAGAATGTCCTCGTACATCCTCCGTCCCCTTCACCCCAGCCGCGCTCACTGCAGCCTGGCCCTCGGCCAGAGCATTGAGCAACCTGCAAAGCCCTTGCACAAGCCTTCCTGGATGAAGAAATCCCTTGCAACTTGCTAGCCAGCTGCTCAATTGCACTAGAGAGGAGGGATCTTGCTGTCAGACCCACCCTGGCAGGACGCGTCCCTGGGATGCTCAGCACTGCAGTTATTTTGCTGAGTGCCAGGGCAGATCGTCCCCCTTTTTCCACTCCAGCCTTGCCACAAGATGAAGAAAAAGCAGAAGAAAAGGCTCTGCCTGTGCAAGCCTGGGCTGTGCGTGGGCGAGACGAGCCCTGCGGGCACCGTGCCCGTACCAGACCTCCGTTCCGCAGGTAAAGGCCAGGCTTGCCGCATGCCTGCGCCGTGCCGGCTGCCTGCCCGCGGGGCTGAGCCGGGGCGGGTGCCGAGGCTGACTGCTGAGCACCGTGGTGCGGAGGGGACCCCG